CACATTATTTACCTCAAGGCTTTGCAACTAATCCATAGAACTTAATTTTGGCTTCCTCCTTACTCTTCTAGAATAGGGATTGTCAACTTTGTCCTTCCCTTGGCTTGAGGCCGAAAGGCTTCATTTATAAATGTTTCATGAGCAATTGCTCCCTTTCTGTCTGGTAGCTCCAAGAGCAAATGGCAAGGTCAAGAGTAAGTCTGTCATGTTGCTGCTCTCTTCCTGTTCCCATGTTCTGAACAGCATTCTTTTGAGGCTGTTTTCAGTGACACTGCTAGGACTGACCTCAGGAGTCACATCTGGGATCTTCTTGTCCCCTGGTTTTCTGTGTACAGTTGAAATAAGTCAACAGTTTGGGATTCTCCCACCCTGCGTTAATCCTTCCCCTAAATCCATTGCCAAATCTGAACTGTATCCCTCTCGGGAATTCTTCTCAAGAATATAATATAGTCTCTCCTCAGTATTTCCCAAAGAGCATACTTTTATTAGGTTGCAAAAGGTAAAACTTTGCCATAAATACTAATTTGGTAATTTCTTCTCCCATCTCATTTAGTAAATACTATCTGCATTCTTAGCTACAAAAAGGACCAGAGAATTTGTTACTTAAGACAGTTAACAATTGTAGCCTGCTTATTTGTTGGATGAAATGCATGCTCAGCCCAAACTGAGTTAAAATAAGCATAAAATTAAGGGCCCAAATTAAATTAAACTAAACATAAAATTCAATGCTCTACTGTCTTTCCCATTAATGAGCCCACTTCTCAAGGACAAATTCTAGATGAAATTCAGTAAATGTGGCCTAAGACAAAACAAAGTGTTATATTGATTTTGAATAAGTAGTCATGGAAAATTATTTTTGAAAGTATTTACATGATTCAGAATATGTGGTGCTCCTTTAGATGGAGGAAAGGATCAGGGCAGATTCTAGAGTAAATGTGGGCAGATTCACATTCCCTGCCAGTATCCACAAGGAATGCTTTAGCATTGGTCTCTAAGCTTCTTTGCATTTCCTTAAATAATAAGGGAACTGGAATGACTGGGTGTTGTGAAGACTGGATAAAGCATCCTCTACCAGACTCCAGTAAGAATTGCATGACGGTTACAATGGTTTTACAGAGAGTTGAGTCTTAGTGTATAATTTTCTCCATCCTCAACTGGCTGGAGAAAAAAAAACAAAAAAAAAAACAAAAAACAACCAGACATCTGAAGGATGGTAGTAGCTCCTGGAAATTCTCAAATGATGTCCTGAAGATTTTTGTTCAGTCTTCATTGTGTTGCCAATATTCTTATTCTTTCTGTATAAGTTACTAAAAATTCCCACGTCTCCCTTGGAAAAAATAGCACTTCAAGTTCACTTAGACTTTGTGCAATTGGGGAAATCAACATTTTGCTTTGATGGCTTCTCCTGGCAAAATCCAATAATCTGTTCAGATTGGATAACACTGAGATCAAACATGCATGCCACAGAGCCAGGGTGAAAGAATGGACCAATTTACTTAAGGTTGGGGGGGTTGGGTTGGAGGGGGTTTTCACTAGAGTCTAGACTCAGTGGGTGATCTAATGCAATGCAGGAGATGAGAGTCTTTGGGAGATCAAGAAGTAGCTATAAAGGCAACATCAGTAGGAAGGCCTCTTTTCCCATCATCCACTTAGTACCCGAGTGAAGGAGAGCAGTCCTGCTTGTCTGGACAACTGACTGTGGAGTTCCACTGCTTTGAGTAAATCAGCACCACTTGGAAATGTCCCTTCAGTGTCCATCTGGGAAAAGGCCACACTGGGAATGGGTCCACACTGGGGTTTATAGTGTCACATATATGGTGTTGGCTAAGGCACATACATCTGTCTAGGTGTCTCCTCTCTGATGAATCCTGGAAGAGTTTTGTGCTTTTATATCTGATCCTGGGATATTGGAAGGCTGTTTGTTTATTTCTGGAAACTTATCATTTGGTAACTCTATGTACCCATATGACCCAACAAAACTTCATTGTGCTTGGAAAAGTATTTCTGTGAGCTCTAACCCAATTCACAGGCAGGCTTTCTCAGAATCTCTATTTTCTCATTCTGTTTAGCGTTTTGAAAGAAACTTTATAGACATGGAAAGAATCAAGGACTGGACCCAGGGGCATCTATGACTCATTGCCATTAGGATTCTTGAAACTAAGTCACTGTAATTAAAAAAAAAAAAAAAGCCTGCTGTAAATAGTCTCAGAATTCAGATCACTTATCATTTAAATTTATACCTCATGCTAATAGATAAATGGTTTCTTATCATGCTGATAAAGGGTTTTTTTCAACCCTTTGGATAGAAATGTATCTATCCAAAGCTTTCTTGTGTGTGACATAATTAAATATTGCTAGAGCTACACAAGCTTATTCTAACTTACTAATCCTGGCTCTTTCTGATTATGGAAAATAATTTCTTAACCTCACTATATGATTTCTCAAGCAGAGGTGAGTTAGTTTAATGGTTGGGCCTGGACTTGGGCCAGGTGGAATGTTGTATTTACTCTTTCTATGAGACCAAGAGGACTAATGGGCTACTAGTTCTAGTGGGGAGCCTAACAGCATCAAGGCCATCTGTTTGGACCATCAGGTGATGTGGTTGCTCACTTCCTTCCTTATGATTCCATGCTTCAAATTAGATTTATTATAGTCAATATTTTGCCACCGTGCTATGTCAGGAAATAGGTTTCAGCTACAATTAATTTATAATAGCAGGTATTGTCAGATTCTCAGTCCCATGTAGTTATAGGAATAAGGCTTGGTTATGTAGCTCCTGCATTCCTTTATGGTAGGTCTTTGGATTTTGCATCTTTAAAAGATATTCCAAAAGCAAGTAGTGCACTTACTTTAAATATGTTCATGAAAAAAAAATATATGGCATGATGTCTCACTTGAGATGAGATAGAATTTAGTGTTTGGAGGAAATCTGTGCTAGTTAGTATTTTATCAAGGTGATAAACACCATGACCAAGACAGTTTGTAGAAGAAAGGGTTTATCTGGGGACTTATGGGGTAAGAGTCCACAACCATCCTAGTGAGGAACTTGGTAACAGGCAGGCAAGTATATTTCTGGAGCAGCAGCTGACAGCTCATGTCTTCATCCACAAATAGGAAGCAGAGAGAGTGATTTGAAATGGCTCCAGTCTCTTGAAACTTCAAAGCCCACTCCTAGTGACATACCTGTTTCAGCAAGGTCACACCTCCTGACCCCTCCATCCCCCACCTCACCCCTACTCAGACAGTCACCAACTGAAGACCAAGTATTCAAATGTCTGGGACTTATAGGGGATATCTCATTTAAACTACCACACAATCCTTTTAAAAATAAAATAAAATCGAAATAAGTGACCACAAATGTATTAGTGAAACTTAAAATAAAACAAGAAAAAATTAATATGAAGCACATGTAATCACATTTATTTCCAAGAATATGGCTGAGATGATTTGTTGGTGAAAGTTCTGCCCTGTCCACCAATAATATGTCTCTGAGTGACCTTGCCTATAGCATCTATCAACTATTCTAATTATTACTATATTACATATTATTATAATCAACTACTCTAAATATTACCCAATCCTTTGCACAGTTTATTGGACCAGATGGACACCTCAGCATGCCTGGGATAAGAAGAGTGAATGCTTTTCAGGTAAAGAATGAGCTAATTGCCCCATAGAAACATCCTGCTCTAGTCTGTTCCCTGCCCTTATATAAGTTACCTGGATTCTTTCAGTAAAAAGCCCCTTTCTCCTAAGGCCGTCATGAGCTGCAGCCAAACATAGTTGGTGGTGGATAAATTTTATTGTGTTTTCTAGAAAATAAGTGTTCCCATGCACTGTAAATATGAAAAATGTTTACAACTGTATACTTGGTTCTGCTACTTCTCGGAGTGTGAGGGATTTATCAGATTCAAGTACTTGAGTGATCAGCACAATGCAATTTTTGATACTGATAAATTGGTAAACGTTCCAATTTGGTGATTCCCTAATCAGATTAGGGGTGTTTATATTTTGTAACAGTATTAAAATGTTTGAAGAAATATATTTAATGGGATACTAACTACTATGCAATGATACTGAGGGACAAACCTGTACACAGAAATACATATACATTATGATTCCAACATCATAATTTACATATGTATATATAAATGATGAATACAAAACCAGTAAAAGACATGGCCTAAAACACCAAATTGAAAATTTTTTTGTGTTGAAGAACTAAATATGACTATTATTTTGTGGTTTCCAGAGCTTCTAAATCTCCTGCAATGATCAAGCAGATGAGTAGAGTCATCTGATTATTTAAAAACTTATGAGTAAATCAATGTATTAATTTAATATTATAAGCAATGAAAATGTCTTTGTTGTATGAAGAATTTTGACAAATTCAAAATGATGCATCTGTCCTACATTGTTTAGCATAACAAACTGGTTCCTCCTTGATTTTTTTTTCAACAGTGAGATATAAAGCCTATATCTAACAATATCAAACCATCAATCAGATAAAATGATGTAGAAATACATTGGCACTTACATCCATATCACTGTAAAAACAGATGGGCTTCTCTTTTAAGTAAGGAAGATTAGATACTTTACAATAAAATTACTTTATTTTGAGGTAAACATAACATTACCAGATTTTCATGAAATGACAGTTCAGAGATATAGATGTACATATATGTTGAGAATAGATACTTCTTAGAGAGCAAGGCAGATTTTATGATATATAGTCTATTCACCACCTACTGTATACAATTCTCAAATGTGAAATAAAGCTGATGTACCTAAGAAGTCACAGTTATTACAAGCAGTTTGACTTTGATGTGTGACTCTGGTAACACTGCTACATAAACACACCACTAGTTGGCACTGTTTGGGGCAGTGGGCATTTGAAAGACACTGGCTGGATTGTACAAAGGGGTCCTGAAACCTGTTGACTACAGCTTAGCAAATCTTTGCACAATATGTGTCGTAACAGGGACAAGTGGGTCGCAATTACTAACGACTAAAGAGACAAAAAAGGTCCCTTTCCCTTTGGAAATTGAGCAGAACAAATTATCTTCACCTCTCCCGCCTCTTGTTGCTTGTCTAAATATTTAACATGTTCTACATACCTTCATGTGGAAATCAAAAAGAACATAGCAAGAGGGGACTGAGGAGAGTGCATTTCTGCCAGCAAATGTATTCCCAACCCACAAATCCATCCAGTTCCCGACTCTTCCTTTGGGCAGCCATCGTCTAATAATGCAAGACATGGCAAGGAGTGGCTTTGCTTGGGTGTTTGTCAAAGCTATTTTTCAGAGTTTTAGAAAACATCTACAATCCATTGAACGCGTTTTCTGCTTAGCTCCTAGGCAGGGGTGAGTGTTCCTTTGGTAGTGTGCCTTCTAGTTGGATGCTGCCCTGGATTCTGTCAGGGCACTACTTCACCAGCAGACTTTGGACCTGTCACTCCACCTCAAAACAAGAGGCAGGCTTTTTGGCCGATGAGCTCATGTTTTCTGAAGGGCGGTAGGAAAGCGTGCTCATTTTTGTAGACAGGCTTGAGTGGGACTTGGCCTTTGGGGGAATGTATTTCAGAAGCTGGAGAAAATATTTCTTGAATTTTTTCCCCAGAAAGCCATAAAACAGAGGGTTCAGGCAGTTGTTAAAATAAGCTATGCAGATAGTGATGGGCATGGCAGTGTCCACGATGTCAGCGATTTTACAGTCACGGATGACACCCAGCTGAATCAGGACATCCAGAAAAGTGAAGATTTGGTGGGGAACCCAGGAAAAGAAAAAGAAAAGCACAATCGCCATAATTATTCTAAAGATGTCATCATTTCTTGGCTTGTTCTTCTGGATTTCATAAGCCTTCTTTAGGGCTTTCCAAATAAGAGTATAGCTGGTGAGGATGATCAGAAAAGGGAACATGAAGCCCAGAATGTTCTTGGTCAGGCCTAGCCCAATGGGAAGGGTTGAGTTCTGAGACTCATAATGGAAAGCACAAACTGTGATGTTGGTGTTCTCGATGAAATACACATTTCGGTGAATAACAGCTGGCAAACTGGCCAAGCCAGCCAGCAACCAAATGATGATGCAGGTGACTTTGGCCACCAGCATTGTGCGGCGGAGGCGAGACTTCATTGGGTGGACAATGGCCAGGTATCGATCAATGCTGAGACAGGTGAGCAGGAACACACTGGCATAGAGGTTGAAACTGACACTGGCTGATGCAATCTTACAAAGGTGATTGCCAAAGGGCCAGCGGTATTCCATAGCAGTATAGACAGCCCACAGTGGCAAGGTCAGCAAAAAGCATAAGTCAGCCAGGGCAAGATTCAGAAGAAAAACACTAGCCACAGTCTTCAGCTTCATGTAGAAATAAATGACAATCACCACCAAGCTGTTTCCAAATATTCCCACCACAAAGATGATGCTGTACAGGGTTGGAATCATGACAAATATGTAATTGTGCCTGCCAGCCTTGGGACAGTCATCTTGGATTCTTTTAATACCATCTTCAGTAGAAGAATTGAGGATCATTTTGCTTTTCTGGGTTGAGTGAGTCTCAGACACTATTCAAAATGCACCTGGAGAAAACAAAAATCCCAAGAACATATGAAGTTAAAAGTTTAAGTTCCAGTTGTAAATGAGCAACTTTCATTCTCAACCACAAATCTAGTAATAAGACATTACCTTTGGAAAAGATATTAGATCACATTTTCTGAAGAAACCTCATGGATTGAGAAAGTCATGATAGGTCACTTAGTTTCTAGAGCACATACTTAGGTACTGTTAAGTGACCAATTAAATAGAAAGCTTGAAAGTCATGGAATGATGGACCCCTTCTTCATAACCTTAATCATAATCAGCCCTTTGATTCTTAATACAGATTGTCAACTTGACAGGGTGTAGACCACTGAAATGGCAAGCCTTTGGGTATGTTAAGATGCCACCCTAACTGTCTGGACACTGTTCCATCATTTGGTGTCCCAGACTGCATAAGAGAGACAGCTTGCTGAACACCAACATCCACTAACTGTGGCTGCTCTCACTGTCATGCCTCCCTCCTCATGGCAGCCTATACTCTGTGGGCCAAACAAGCCCTTCCTCCCCTAAGTGGCTTGCCAGGTCTCTTGTCAAAGCAACAAGTCCAGTAACTAATACAGATGCCACCTCCTTGAATATGCTAATTTTAAGGAAGGAGACAGTATCACAACCCAGCTGCCTCTCCTGAAGTTTATAATAGTATATGAAAAGGAGGAAGGTAGGGACACAAGCTCTGCCCATGGTACATTAACAGAACTCTATTGTCGCCTGAGAAAGCATGGCTATCATAGACTTGTAATTTTTTTCTTACACACTTTATAATAGATTATTTCTTTGGTCAAAAGACCAGGACTGAGTCACACACCCTAGATAGACACATGACTTTCTAAACTGTCCAAAAGACTCTGAAACCACAAAAACGTGGCTAAAGTACATCCTTGCAAACAAGACACCTTGAGTGTGGATTCTCAGAACCCATGTAAAAAGCTGAGTGCAGTAAGATGTGCCTTCAATCCCAGTAATGACAAGGTGAGAGGTAAAGACAGGCAGATCCCTGGGAGCTCCAGGGCCTGCTAGTCTGGTCTAAAGCAAAATTCCAAGACCATGAGAGATCCTGTCTCAAAAGGTGGATGGTGTGTGATGACTGATGCCCCAGATTGTCCTCTGACATTCACATATGTACTCTGCAAGCATTCATCCCATCCATAAAACACACACACACACACACACACACACACACACACACACATCCAAATGAGCCAGTTTGTCACCTGGATAGGAAAACATCCCCCCTGCCTCAAAAACAAAACAAAACAAACAAAAAAAAACAACAACAACAACAAAACTATGTGTCCCTGATGAAATTTCAAGACTCATAGTTGTACTGGCTAGTTTTATGTGTCAAATTGACACAAGCTATAGTCATCAGAGAAGAAGAAGGCTCAGTTGAGGAAATGCCTTCATGAGATCCAGCTGTAAGGCATTTTTTCAATTAGTGATGGGGGGGATAGGGCCCAGCTCATGGTGTGTTGGGCCACTCCCATGCTCCTGGTCCTTGGCTCTATGCCAGTGGAAGTAAGTCAGTAACAAGCTCCCTTCCGTGGCCTCTGTATCAGCTCCTGCCTTCATGTTCCTACCATGTTCAAGTTCCTGTCCTGGCTTCCTTCAGTGATGTGGAAGTGTAAGCTGAATAAACTCTTTTCCCCCTAACTTTTCTAGCACAAGGTAGTGATGAAATTGACCAGCTATTGGTAGCAAATGTGCTAGAAGCCTCAGGATTTCATAAGAAATACCATGTTGATAGCAAAGGTTTGATGAAAGACCATGTACTTGTTCCCCAGTTACAGTGAGAAGACGTGGAAAGTGTGGTTCTAGGTGAGTGTGGCTTCAGGTAAAGAAACTCAATTAAAAGCACAAACTTGACTTCAGAAAAACACTGCTACTAAGTTAAAAAAAAATGACATTAATTCTCAGAGTAGCTTGAAAGTTGTTTCTAATGTAATCTAACTAATTAATCTTTAACCTAACAGGAATGCCACATCTGCAGCTTATTCATTACACAATTTATTTAACTTCACAAACTTGGGAATAAAAATTATGAGCATCCTCCATTAGTAATAATCAAAAGAGCTGTCTTTTGGTTATTGTATCGGTAGACTTAAGACGGGGTGGGAAGGAATGCTCAATATGACCAGCAGGTGAGGGCAGAGTGGGGCAGAGAATACCATCTGCGAAGCTTTGCACAAACACTACAAAATCAGCATTCAAAACCAATCTGTTGGCAAAGAGGAAGCGTGAACACATTCGTTCCTTCAGCTACTAGATCTGGCTGGAGCTGCTGGAGCAGGCAGAAGCTATCCAGAGACACCTTAGAGCAGGAGTTTTCAACCTTCCTAATGTTGTGACCCTTCAATACAGTTCTTCATGCTGTGGTGACCCCCAACCATAAAATTATTTTTACTTTTAGTTCATACCTGCTTTACTACTGCTATGGATATCTGTATTCATACTGTAATGTAAATATCTGTGTTTTCAATGGTCTTAGACAACCCCTGTGAAAAGGTCATTTGATCTCCAAAGGGGAGCACAACCCATGGGTAGAAAACCATTACACTAGAGTGCCTGAAGGTGATCTGTGGCTCATCACAATAGTAAAATGCACACCCCTAATGGAGATAAAGCAAAGGAAACTGTTTTAAAGTTGTGTGTAGAGCTACATGTTACAGAGAACATAAGTGAGAAAACCCAACCTATGCTCATGATTCAAAATGCCCATGAAATCTGACATAAAAGTCCCCATACAGCATGCCCACTGAGATTCTAACCTCTTTCTCTGATTCTGCTCACTTACTCCTTTGAAAATACAACCCTCCAATAATGTCTCTCACTCAGTTTACTATTCATGTGTCTTTCTCCAATCACTTGAACACATGCAAAAGTGGCATCCACATCCCAGTATCCTCTGTGTTCACTGGACACAGTGTTCTTCCCAGGGATCTTCACCTTATACAGGGTAGAACTGTTTATTCTTTGAACTGTCTGGATGTTGACTTCCACTAAACCATTCAGGGCTTACCTGTGAGGAAACCATGTGTGCAGTAAGGATGCCAAACGCAGGAAGGAGGCCTGGTCTTATCAACAAGACATGCTTTTACAGGGTGCTATAGCCGGAAGAGATTCTTTGGGATTTCAGGAAAAACCAGGTGTTTGGGAAGGAATTCTGTTCCTGCAAATATTCCCTCCCAGTTTTCATATCGTCACTCAAATTGTTCACTATGTGATTCTGAAAAATGTATACTTTTTTTTTTTCTTATGAGCACATCAGAAAAATGTGTGGGAAAGATTCTTGTTGCACTGTGGCTTTTTCCTCAGTTCATGAAACAGACGTCTCATAATCATCTTGGCACAGAGAGAACCTTTGCCCCCCCCCAGTAACCATGGCAACGGACCAAGCAGAACAAGACAGTGGTGCAGTGATGGCTAAGACTACATTATAGCAATGACGTTAGTACTCTATGATAGAAAAGGGAAGGATCCCAGGACCCTAACCTGGTTCTACAGCAGCTGCTTTCTCCTGCCTGTCACACAGCAAGTGGCTGTGGGAGGTCCCTGAGTATACCAGAAGTGGCAGTTAATGAAAGTGAGGCTTCCTGGTGCACCTTTCTCGACATCTTCACTCAGGTAACAATGATGTTTTATGGTCACTGGTGGTCCTGTCAGTCCATCACCCACACTCTGTAGTAAGCCTAGTAAGATCATTGGTTCACCATGTTGAACTTGATCCATTATTGATGCCCTATTAGCATGAGTAGATAGATATGTGTTCACATTTCTCCAGGAAAAATCAAAGGCAGATTTTTCAAATGGCCTTTTTTTGCCTCCCTCAATATGTAAAACTACAGTACCTACCTGAGTGTTTAGTTTCCACCCTCATTATTATTAACAGTAGCCTTGATTAGGGCCCTGTGGGGGCCAATTAAGGAAAATGGTTTCTCTAGCCTGGTAGAGGCCTTGCATTTCAAGCTGTCTTAAAACAAAAAAGCCTGGTTAAATCAAGAAAGGAGGACCAATCCTAGGAATGCAGATCCACTGGAAGCCATAGACACAGGAGGAGTTTTTATTCCTTTAATGAGAGAGTGTGTGTTTTCTTCCCAGAATTCCTGCCTCCTGGGGCGGCCCAGGAGAGTCTTGGGGTTCTGTTGGTCTGACTCCCTTCCAGAGGCAGAAATTTACTTTTCCCTGAGCTTCTTTCTTTTGGGTGCTAGCCAGAAAAAAGTAAACTTTACCTAATGTCCTGGGTTCTCTTTCTCTGAAGCCCACTTGCTCCTCCCACTTTTACCATGGAGCTATTTGTCTATCATTGGCTGACCTCCACCCTCACTCAAATAGCATGGCTCTCTCCTTCTTGCTCACTCAGCTCCTAGGACTGGCCTACCTGGTGGGAATGAATATATTCCAAAGAGATGTTTCATGTTTCCCTCTTTGGGTATCAAGCTATTGCAAAAGGTAGCCAAGAGGTGGTGGTGCATGCCTTTAATCCCAGCACTCTGGAGGCAGAGGCAGGCGGCTCTCTGTGAGTTTGAGGTCAGCAAGGTCTACAGAGTGAGTTTCCAGGACAGGCTACACAGAGAACTCTGTCTCAGAAGGAAAAAAAAAAAAAAAAAAAAAAAAAAGGAAGGAAGGAAGGAAGGAAGGAAGGAAGGAAATAAAATTAAAATTGAAGAAATGGCAATTTCCCCCAGGAATCTCCTGCTGTGAGAGGAAATAGCTGAAGCTCTGAAGGTAGCCTATGTCCTCAAGAAAGATTTACAGCTGGTCAGAGCCCTCACAGGAGAGACCTGGAGCTGAGACATTGGTGGGCATGGGATCATACCTTGACAAACACATATCTCCTTTTTGTATTACATTCTCCCCTCAGGTCAGGACCCTGAAGAAGGACTCTAGAAAAGACACTGGATCTTTGTCCCTGTGGCCACATAGAAAGAATCTCTTTTTCTGCCTCACTTTTAATTTGGCCCCTTAAATCGACTTATTGAGGATA